ATCCTTTTCAACTCCGATTCCGAATTCATAACAATATCCAACACTATTTGTTCCTTTAATATGACCCATCTCTACAGATTTTTGATAATGAATGAACGCCTTATGTTCATCCTTTTCAACTCCAATTCCTTTTTCATAAAAACGTCCAATATTATATGTTCCACTAGCATTCCCATATCTGCAGATTTTTTATAATAAATGAACGCCTTATGTTTATCCTTTTCAACTCCAATTCCATTGAGATAACAATGTCCAACATTATATATTCCTCCGGAATCATTCATCTCTGCGGATTTTTGAAAATAAAAAAATGCTTTATGTTCATCTCTTTCAACCCCAATTCCATTTTGATAAAAATATCCAAAATTATTTATTGCAAGACTGTCTCCCATATCAGCAGATATTTTATAATAAATAAACGCCCTGTGGTCATCCTTTTCAACTCCAATTCCGGTTTGATAATAAAGTCCAGTATTATATGCAACAGTAGCGTGACCCATATCAGCAGATTTTTTATAATAAATGAATGCCTTATGTTCGTTCTTTTCAACTCCAATTCCTCTAATATAGCATTCACCAAGAGCGAGGGTTCCCATAACATGCCCCATTTCTGCAGATTTTTGAAAATAAATGAATGCCTTATGTACATCTTTTTAAACTCCACTTCCACTATTATAAAACTGTCCAATATTGAATGCACCATCAGCATACCCCATTTCTACGGATTTTTGATAATAAATGAACGCTTTCTGTTCATCCTTTTCAACTCCAAATCCATGATGATAACAATATCCAACATTAAATGTTCCTATAGCGTTTCCCATATCTGCAGATTTTTGATAATTAATAAATGCCTTGTGTCCGTTCCTTTCAACCCCTATCCCATGTTGATAATTGTATCCAAGGTCGTAAGGGTCTAAATTAGTTGATTTTTTACGATGAAGCAAGTTTTTATAAATCCTTTTCATTTTACTTTTTAAATGTGGGAAACATAAAAAAATTCGAATTAGCAGCTTAAATCATTTAAGTGCAAGTATATATACGTATAGTACAATCGACCTCCTCTACAGTCACCTCCTATATAATCACACCATCTTTATAAGCGTCATTTTTTGAAAAATTATTGGCAATATATTTATTAAAATAACTCTATATGATTACATTACTATTAAAATTTTACAATCACATCTTTTTTGTGTAAAACAAACAGCGTAATTATAAAGGAGGATGACTTAACTTCTAAAAATACTTCACAATTACACGAAAATATATAATTAATTAGTAAAGAATTATGCATTAATTGTTACATACATTATTTTGTGCACTTGTAACGATCAATGTATAAAATTCGAATGTGTTGATCTAACTAAATCGCTTTATTTCAAAACCAAGCAATATCATCAATATATAACTAGCATATTATTTGCGCTTCTAGAATGGGAGTTCCGTAAATATCTTGTATAATTTTAATTATATTGATTGGAATTGTATAATACGAACAAAAAAAATCAGCGTGACTAAGAAATTAAACGAAGTAAATAGCTTAAATGTTTAAATTGATAAATGATTACTGTGTTATAGCAATATAAATAGTACGAATAATTGTAAGATAACTATTGTATTAGGGTTAGTATGTTTTATTTATACTAGAATATCATATGGAAAAATTCTACATTAGTAGCTTTATTGATCTTTCGCATTTTTTTTGTGTTGCACGTGATCTTAACTACGATCATAACTGTCGTATAACCATAGCTTAGCAAAGCCGTGATTAGCAATAATAATTATAATTTATTTAATCGTTATTTTTATTGCATTAAATAAGAGGTACCAGAATTATTATAAAAAAAAAATAGCGTATTTCAGAAATTAATTGGAGTATTAAAAATCTTATTTGTGTTTCGAAACTTTGTCATGAAATTATTAAATAAAATTATTAATTTAAATTTAACGTAAAAAGAAATAACTTTCCAAATATGTCATCTACTCAATCAAAAATTAGATCCTTGCGTTTTACCTTCAATTTGTTAAATTATGTCAATTAATGCGTTATTTTATTATGTTAAATTAAGTGCTCTATTTTATAATTTGTTAATCTGTTAAATTAATTGCGTTATTTTACATTTTGCTAACGCTAATATGTTAAATTATGCTAAATTATGTCAAATAAATTGTACATTCGATAATCACACAAAGCTATAAAATAGTAGTGCACTCGCTTTAAACTGCTGATTCTTGTTTTTTGCTTTTTCACGCATTTGAAAAATACTGTAAAATGAAGAAGATTTATAATAAATTTTTTCACCTTATAAACTTGGATATAAATATCATCTTGGGATGGGAGTTGAAAAGGATGAACGTAAAGCATTCGTTTATTTTCGACAATCTGCCGAAATGGGTAATCCTAATGGAATATTTGAAGTTGGATATTACTATCGAAATGGAATTGGAGTTGAGAAGGATGATCATAAGGCATTTATTTATTATCAAAAATCTGCAGAGATGGGACACGCTATTGGAACATATAATGTTGGATACTGTTATCATAATGGAATTGGAGTTGAAAAGGATGGACAGAAAGCGTTTATTTATTATCAAAAATCTGCAGAGATGGGATACGCTAAAGGGACATATAATGTTGGATATTGCTATTTTAATGGAATTGGAATTGAAAAAGATGAACATAAAACATTCATTTATTATCAAAAATCTGCAGATATGGGATACGCTATGGGAGCATTTCAGACTGGATGCTTTTATAAAAATGGAATTGGAATTGAAAAAGATGAACGTAAGGCATTCACTTATTTTCAAAAATCTGCAGAAAAGGGGCACCCTATGGGAACATTTGCTCTTAGTCAATGTTATCTTAAAGGAGTTGGGGTTGAAAAGGATGTAGATAAGGCACTTATTTATTTTACAAAGTAAACTCAGACGGAAGATTGTGATATGTAAGACTTTTAGTTAGGCACGTTACAAATGTCCGCGACAATTGAATTTTTATATATTAAATTACTTGATTTTTTATTTTATTACCTGTTTTAAACACACAAACAATATTTATTATAACAAATATATCAAAAATATAACCTTTTTTATTATAAATCATTGAGACAAATCTTTAATTATATCTTTATTAATACATATAAATTCAATGTTCGATATAAATATAAGAATATAAATAATAAATGAAATGGTCTTGTTTTATAAAAATGAATATTTGTGTTCAGAAGATAGTTTTTCACTAAGCCAATAAATACAAGAATAAAAGATTTTTTTAGATACTACAAGTAAATAATTTTAAGTAACATGCGTAAATATCAAATTGTATTTTGGCTGTTAAATTTGTTAAGTTGTTAAATTTATATTTGAAGTTTGTTGATTTTTCTAGATTATCCCCTCCTTAAAGCAAGCTTTTCCTAATACATATACTCTTCTACAAAGATAATGTCTCCAGAATTCTGCCCAATACTCCTATCCTTTATTATTGCATTTGTTGTAACTGTTTAAAATGCATTTTTTTAGATTGCATCAAAGAAATATGTATATAGATTTTTAATTCTTTTATAATTATTAAATTTATTAATATAGTTTCTTCGATTTGGTTATTTTTTTTGTTTTAAATGAGTTAGTTATTTGTTGGATGAAAATTTTATCTATCCCTTCTTTCTTCTTCTCTGGTAACTTCATAATTTTTTTTTTTAAGTCTTTAATTGCTCTCAATATATTTTTTAAGCCAGACATTTTGGTCAGATTATTAGTTTGTGTAATTGTACTTATTTTGATTAAAAGTTATTGGGAAGTCATTAGCACGGGGTAAATATTGATCACGTGAGAAGGTGTAACACAAATAATAAAACTAGCAATTTGTTCTGCTGTGGATTAACGGTGACGACGGGACCCACAGTGGGGCTGCATTGTGGATAATCCTATGTTCGAATCCGGCTGCGGGTGTGAATCCTCACTTAATTTCCCGGGTTTGAAGCACCAGAACGAGTTTTTTTTTGGTTTAATTATCGTTTGATACCTACATCCCGTAGTACTTGTAGTACTGATAATGGTTTTATTTACGAGAGAAGATCTTATGTACTAATATACACCATATAAGATCTAGACAAGACGAAACACTTACTTTTTACAATTCATGAAAGCAGAAGTTTAGCCTCCAGTGAAATTTTCGATTAAGTAAACGAAGATGTGAATAGCTCTTGAGGACTTCTAAGCGTATGACGTTTAATTCTTGATGTTGGTGTCGAAAACCGTAAAGCCATATTTGTTTGTTAGAATGTTAAAACTTGTACTGATTTAGAAAATGATTATACGATAAATAAAATCAAGCAAAAAAAAAAAAAAGTGTACAATCCGCTTCGTAGCTTGCGCAGTACCGACGAGTGATAAAAGGTACTAGTATTTTTCTAAATTAAATTTTAATATTCATAACGCGGCTTTTAATAATTTTAAATCTTCAATAGACTTCGGGTATAGCGCACGACTGATAGGTTATATTATGAAGGAAAAAAATTTAAGTACGTGCTTACTTTGTGGTTATAATTGACAATCTAGCCATTTGAAATATGCCGTAACTGATTAATAAAGGCCCTGTAATTTGCGCCTGATCTAATTCATAGTAGGTCTACTGTCAAAGGGGATCTTTTATATGTGCATTTACTGTAATTTCTTATTGTTGGATCTTGCTTGAACATCCACCTTGATTAAAATTTAGTATCTAGCACTAATCAATTTAAAAATGCTTAGAAATTGGATACTTGACAAATTCTTGAGCATTTGGATGCACTTTAAAAGTGACTAAATATTTAGATTTAAGAAATTGTATCATACCTACACCATTCAATGAAACAAAACAGTTATATTTATAATTAAGGGGAGAAGAAACGATTGATGAAGTTAGAACAGTTATGATGATGAATCAATCATGACGAAAAAAAATTGAATTATAATTTTATCCATGATGGCCATTCAGAAAGACTTAACCAAACCACATGGCAGTTATGGATATGAATGTTACGGTTGATTGTGCTCTAAGCTGTGATACTAAGAAGATAAGTATAAGAAATTTGGTTATTTTTAAAAATTTTAGTTACTATGTTAACGCTTTTAAAATACCTCAAGTCAGTTATTATTGTCAAAATAGGGGTTTATGTAAAACCAGGCAGAAGTATTCGATAATATAATAAGTTCCACGAATATTATGATGAAACAATGATGAAACGATTGCTGAAATGAAGAAGTAATGTTCATCTAATGGATAATAAAAAGAAAAACGATGATAGAACAGCAAACAGAACGGTTAATACGATCAAAGATGTACCGATCTTTTATAGCTTAGGCATCAGCGAAAGTTTTTTAAAAATGTCTAAATTTACAAAAATTTTCATTGGAGCTTGACTTAGCTACGATTTGTAAAATGATGTATCTTTGATCAAATCTGTAGATCGCAGTTTACCCATACAATTACATGATTGTTCGATTATATATTTTAGCGAGTATATATCCAACAAATTATGAATATAATATTATTTTTATTAAATTTTTACTTAGAAATGCGCTTTATAATCACACGATCGAAGGACAATCACGTGATTGTAAAGGTGATCAGCGTTCTACAAATTTTGATCAAGGATACCTTTGTAAATCGCAATAAAACAAGGTAATCAGACTTTCTATATCCATGTAATCTCATGAAGTGATTATAATGTTTTTATATTTGTTAGGTGTAGGGATGGGTACGGTTACGGTTATAACCGTCGTGACCGGTGTAAAGGTGGAGATAGTGATACGGGCTGGCCCCGGCCCAACGGCCGGGCTGGTCGATAAAAGAAGTGCTAGAATCGATTCTCATATACTGGCTAAAAGATTGGCTAAAAATCAACCAATCATTTATAAAAATGTAGACACTCAAGTTGGCTAATTTAGGTGATAAATTAGTAAATAACTAATACGTATAAGAAATGGAAATGCCTAACATGTTCGGGTGCTTACAGCTGATTTGAAAATTTACTGTTGCATGATAAGCAGGAAGAAAATTTAAAAGTTGCGCCAAATTCCATCTTATAAGAATTAACACATTATACTAGAAATTTATTTTGTTTATTACTGATAGAATCATTGAATTTCAAAGTAAAAACATAAGTAAGTTTAGTATATTTTTCTTTATTGAAACATATATATATATTTCATTACAATAAATTTTGGAGTAGACACTTGTGCGTTCAAAGCATGTTCTGGGATAATAAATTTTGTCATTATAAATGGTTTTTTTTTTAAAAAAAAAAGTATGTTTAATAAATATATTATATATATATATATGTGATAAGTCTTTATATAGTACAATATTAGTTGATATACATACGTCATCTTAAAGAAATTGGCAAATTCCAAACCGCATTAAATATTTTAAGCAGATATTATATTAATTTTATAAAGTTATATAATAATTAGTAAATTACTTTTGAACCTTTCAAAATTGACTGTCAAAATTGATAAAATTAATCTACCAAGTCTATTTTCACTATATAAACCAATACTATATTTTCAAATCCGATAATCTTTCAATATAATATATCTGTAGATATACAATACCAAATTTAAAAGCAAAAATTAAAGTTAGATTAGTTAGAGTTTAGAGTCAGAGTAATACATATTTTATATTAAAATTTTGCAAAGAATTTTTTTTGTTAAAACCTTCAAAATAGGTGATAAATAAAACATTAAGCATTATTTAATACCCGTGCTTTATATTTGCATTGGAGTAGCACCTATTTTAAGTAGCTACTTTAGATAGGTGCTACTTCGGATAGAGTAATTCCTAAAGTAGCTATAGTAATTCAGATAGATATATAAAGTAGCTTCTTCCGATCCAACATTTACACTTGTGTATAAATAGAAATTGACTAATAAAATAACTTTTGGTATAATTGTGCTTTATCCAATTCTAATTTCTAATATTAATCTTAATCTTCTAATATTAATCTAAATCTACTGTAATGCAATAGAATTCTTTTCTTTAATGGAATGCCCTCAGGCACTTTTATGCAATAAAATTTTAATTTGTACTCATAAGTTTTTCCTTGGTAATACTTATAAAAATATTTATGTTACTGTAGTTATATTAAATCTATCATAAACAAAAAATATTATATACTATATAATAAAAAATTACTAAACTTAAATTTTAGAACAAACTTTGTCGGCTAACTTTTTTTAAAAAAACTTTTAAGCATATAATATTCTAAATACGCAGTCATTGAACCATATTTTAAAAAATTCTCTAACTTTAACCAGAAAAAAATCTAATAATTAATTAATGCACATAATATATATTTTAGTGAGCGTTTATTTTACCGATTATTATCTGATTATAAATATATATAATTAATATTTAATAAAATTTATTACATATAAACTAAATTGATAAAGAGCTGCAAGTAAACTAATTTTGGATTTTATAATAGTTCAATCTGAGATTTACCAGTCTTACCAGTATTCGCCAAATTTTTATTAGCCTCACCTGCAACCTTAAGCACCCAATAAATATATGAATAAATAATAAATAAAATATAGTTAAAGAAAAGATATTCAATATTGACACAATAACTTTAGTTGTAACACTCTAAGCTAACATCCACACTTGCTCTTATACTGTATGCAAACAATTTCTCACGTGAATGGAATAAGATAATCGTATAGAATTTTAAATTCAAAAAACGATGGCAGAAAAATGTCGCGGTCTCGTGATCACCGACCACTTCTGATCGGAATTCAAACTACGCATTACGTTTAAAAGACTAATAGTTCTTAAAATGTACATTATATAATAATAAATTATCACATACGTTTAATAAACTATTAGTCTTTTAAACGTATAATGCGTGATTTGAATTATCTGAATAAGAATATTAAACATACTCCCATGGCTCAATTTCTAGAGACTTTTTAAAATCAGCAAAAGATTCTTCTTCAAATCCTTTCAATAGATAGATTTTTCCACGATTTCTTAATGCGAATGCGCTATTTGGTTCCATTTTCAAAGATTTATTGAAATCAACAAGTGATTCATCATATCTGCACATCACACGATAAGTTTCACCGCGACCACGTAATGCAAATGCATTATCAGGATCAATTTCTAAAGATCTATTAAAATCATCAAGAGATTTTTCATTTCTTCCTAACATCCGAAAAGTTTCACCACGACAATGTAACGTAAATACATCGTTTGGTTTAATTCTTAATGAATAATTGAAATCAAGAAGTGACAATTCATAGTTATCCATAGCACGATAAGTTTCACCACGTTCACTAAGAGCATCAGCATCATTTGATTTAAATTCTAATGATTTGTTTAGATCAGCAAGTGATTCATCATACTTTCTCATCCAACGATATGTACCTCCACGTTCAATTAATGCACCAGAATAATTTGGCTCAATTTCTAATGATAAGTTGAGGTCTTTAAGCGATTTATCATATTTTTCCATTAATCTAAATGTTCCTCCACGTTGTCTTAAAGTCAATGCATTATTTGGATCAATTTCTAATGATTTATTTAAATCATCAAGTGATTCTTTATATTTGTCAGTCATTCGATAAATTGCACCTCTAATTCTAAGTGCTGAAGCATTATTTGGCTCAAGACTTAATGATTTATTTAAGTCTACAAGTGCCTTATGAAATTTTTCCAACATATAATAGGTTTCACCTCGAATTCTTAACGCATCTGCATCATTAGGATTAATTTCTAACGATTTATTTAAATCTACAAGTGCTTCTTCGTGTCGGTCTTTTTTGGGAATTATTTCTTCTTGACCTATTGATACCCAACGTTTAGGCTTAAATTCTAATGATTTGTATGTTACAAGCTGTCCTAATACGCGACAAGTAGCTCCTCTATTTTTTAATTCAAATGCGTCATTTGGGTTAATTTTCAATGATTTAATAAAATCTGCAAGAATTCTTTCATATCTACTAGTTATTCGATCAACTTCTTTATTTGTTATTATCCAAGCATTAATTGATTCGATTTCCAATGATTTATTTAAATCTAACAGTACATTTTCATGTTTACCAATTTTATTATAGATTTTTCCTCGACTTCGTAATATGAAAATATTATTTGGATCAAATTCCAATGATTTTGTTAAATCTTTGAGTGAATCTTCATAATTCTCCATCATATAATAAGTTAATCCACGATTCTTCAATGCCAACGCATTATTAGGATCAATTTCTAATGATTTATTTAAATCATTGAGAGATTTTTCATATAAACCCATCATACGAAAAGTAGCACCACGATCGTTTAGAGCAGTAATACTATTTGGGTCAATTTTTAACGAATTATTTAAATCCATAAGTGAATTATCATACTTATCTATCTCATAATAAGCGACTCCACGATAATTTAATGTAAATTCATTATTTGGGTCAATTTCAAGAGATAAATTTAAATCTTTTAGTGATTCATCAAATTTTCCTATCATACGATAAACTAATCCACGATAACTTAATATTAAAGAATCATTTGGCATAATTTTTAATAATTTATTAAAATCTGCTAGAGATTCTTTATATTTATCTATTGATAAATAAATTAATCCACGATTTTTTAATGCGATTACATTATTTGGTTCAATATCCAATATTTTATCTAATTCAATAAGAGATTCTTCATTTTTATCTACCATGAAATAATTCAATCCATGATCATTTAATGAAAACAATCCATTTTCATTTTTTATTATAAAACCTAAAAATATAAAATTATAAAGATCAATGTTTTTTTTTTGTGTTGTTTTAATTATATAAATACTTACATTTTTTCCTTTTATCCATTTTATCAAATTTACGATGTTTTTTTCTTAATAAAAATTTATTTTAATATATATATATATATTAACTATGACTATACATTGAATTTTATGAGATATAAATGCGTGTGTGAGTACTAAGTACTGTATGTACGTACGTACGTACGTACGAATCATTTTATTAACGTTAATGTAGGAATTCATTCATTTACTGCAATTGCCATTCGCATGTGTAACATATCACAGTATTACGTTAGGTGTTCAATCGACTAATTAATCAAAACATAGTTAGTAATTTCGGATTTTCTAATGGGATTCGAATATTATAATTCCTCTACGTATGAAAATATGGAAAGTTCTCGCCGTTTTCTTCTTACAATAGACTTCTTAATAATATTTTTTGTAATTTTTTTATGAGAACTTTCAGACAAAAAAAAAAAATCGCTTAGGATTAATTAGGTCATTGTTGAGATAAAGTGTTTTGAATCGATTTTTATATGATAGATAGATGATCGTTTATTATATAAAATAAATAAAAATCGAACATTTAAAGTATTCAATGGCCTAATTGATCTTAAG